CATCTGCGAGCATTCGCTCAATGATATGCTGCGCGAGCAAGTCGTTAGCTGCGCTCATTCTATCCGATCTTGCGTGCTTGGCAGATGACCTCGATTCTGTAGCTGGCGTTAACGACCTGCTTGCGATGGCACAGTGATGAAGACCGAGGTGATCCGGGGAAGCTCTTGACAAGAATCACAAATGTCGGTGCAACTACAATAGCCGCGGGTGTCCGGCATCAATCATGTCTTCTAGCGTTCGTGAGGGGAGGCATACGAGAAAAGTCGCGAATGCGACCCTATGTGGACGAGCGAAGGATTGAAGGAAATCAGCGACGAGGTCGTCATACATGCAGTCACGAGTTGTGAGTACCCGCCGTCACCCTTGTGACTTTGCTGCTCATGCCCCGTGGTTGTATCTGCTGTATGCACGCAACGTGAAGCTCCTCGCCGGCGCGCTCGTGATGCACCCATGCGGGTCGGTGGCGGTGTTGTTTTAGCGCCTAATGGGACAGCGTGATGTCGAGCTATAAGTCACGAGTGCAAAAAGGGTTGGGTGACTGCAAGACTGCACGGCCTTTCCGGCGGCAAAGGTACGGGTGTAGGGACGAAGAACGGCCGAGGTAAAATCACATGAAGGCAATGCGTCATCTCATATGATTCACGATTGTCACTCAATCACGAATGGTTATTGTGATGTCCACACCATTTGAATCAAGAATTCACTCTGACTCGTTGATTGTGGCGCGTGGTCTACCTGCTCGAGAAACTCCTGACTCAAGTCTGGACAGCCGTCACAGATAACGTGAGCGGTGAATCGAGATGTCGCTGAACAAGCTGCTCTTGTTGGTGTGTGTGTGCGCGTGTGTGTGATGCTCTTATGTGGACAAGGCCGATGGTCGTATTCACGATTTGCATCTTCGCAAGCCAGCCGCTTTGCTTGAATCACGGGTCGCGCGACACGCCAACCACGCGTTTGCTGAAAAGGGTTGGGGATTTGCAGCCAAAGTCACAAGTCAAGAGTCGGAGTACCTACAGTCGTAAGTGAAGAGTCGTGAGTGCGGGCCTTGCTGGCTGGGAACGAGTGTGACTGCCTCGGCGAGCTCGCTTGATTGCCACGCAAGGACCTATGTTCACGATTCTGATTCGATCTGATGTCGAATTGACGGTAGATCTTCAGAGTCATTCGTGACTCATGAGTCAGATCAGTCACCAGTGGCAATCGTGAATCTCGGCCACGCTCATCCCCCGCTCATGAGGCTGTGCTCGACGCTTGCGACTGTCAATGTGCATGTGATTGCATGGCAGCACAGCACGTCTGTACAGGCCCCGCAAGTCCGTAGCTGTTGTATGATCGGTACAGCTATTATGTATACACAGCCGCCTTCACATCTTGCCCCTCCTAGTCAGAAGACGCAATTAAGGTCAACAAACATCTCATCAGCAATCACAAAGTCACGCACGAGTCTGGAAATTTGCGATGATAGCTGCCTGTCGCTTCCAGGGGCGACAGATGGTGGGCCAGCACTCCGCTCTGATTCTGTCTCTCACCAGCTTCCCCGCTTCCCGCGACTGTCGTGAGTGAGAGCGCGTGTGAACCCAAGGCGTCCGTCCCCTGCTCGCTGCATGGCTGCTACCGACTAATCGCGAACTCTTCCCAGTCGTGAACTTGGGTCGGCTGGCGCCCATGGGTGCTGCATGGTTGGCTGGATGCTACTGTACTACTCTCTCGAGCCGACTGCACCGAAGTTTGGCCCCTGCATGATGTTTAACGCTGTGTGCAGGTATCTAGGATGTGAATGGCACTGGATCAGTGAGTCACCACCACTCGTGACTACTATTACCGTGACTGGAGCACCGTTAATCACCAATGCTGGCTGGCCCTTGCACTCTGACTATAGTGATTG